AGGGAGGTCTGGGCCTTCCTTCTGAAGCTGCTGCCCCCGCGACCCGACCCCGGATAGGAGGAAGAAAATGGATGGATGGATAAAATGAAAAACCGATAACTGACTAAAACTGTACAATCTTTTTACAAAAAAATGTAAAAACTAACTAAAACTAACGGAAACTAGAAGCACTCGGAGAGTGCAAACCTCCGCAAAGGCCAATTTCCCTCATCCTGTAAGAGTTAACGCACAAAAACAAAGATAGAAACACATTTRCTGAATAAGTTGTGACGTAGTGAACATTTAAGCAGGCAGTATGCACGGSGTTTCTTCCCAGTGGAGTCCACTGCGAGAAAAAAAAAGTCAGACTCGTCACCCGACGTTATTCATCGTCAAACTGGTCTCGGATTAAGCTCCTAAGTTTTCATCACTCAAATTCCACCTTGTAAAACGTCTGTTTTATCCCCTTTTATGAGTTTTTAACACTTTGACTCTCTTTATAAACTGCTGCTTCCTGGTACAGTCACTCTGGAAGTGACTCGCCTTTTTTTTTTAAGCAAGTGATTGAAGCAAAACGCAGCATCTGAGCGCTTTCAGCACAAACACTCCCACAAACTTCTGACCAATCATTTAATAAAGTTCTTATGTGGAGGGGGTACCTCACATGGTTGATCAGCTGCAGCAGGACCCTCCTCCCGCTGTCGGTGTCTCCTGTTATTCCCATAACGTGAAGAGAATCACATTTCTTTCTCTACGTCTCCAGACAGCAGTAACATCACCAAAACTAGCTGATAAAAGAATAATCACAACTTTCCCGACAGTAGACATCCTGGGAGGCGTAGTCTCAGCGAGTTTGCGACTTCACTTCCTGTTTCCTAGAGGCATGTCTGTCCACAAACAAGACAGACGCGACCGAAAACATTACCTCCTCCCTTGGCAGAGGTAATTATAGGTAGAATATCCTTAGTCTTAGTGTTTGTCAATTTATTTTGAGACATGTGGATCAAGCAACAGGTAGCACCAGGTTGGAGACAATTATAGTCATCGTCCTAAAATAATCGCCCAAGTCCTTAGTTGGCAAAATTGAGTTACACAATTATTTTAGGAGTTGCTGTAATGGACTACTTTAACTAGCTACCAAATAACTGTTGGTTAGTGAACTCACAGGAACATAACAAGCTGGAGGATCTCTGGCAAATACAGTATGTTTATTCAAACTATAAAAAAAACTAATACTAGAACTAATAAAAACTAAACTAAACTAAAACTAAGCATTAAAAATGCTATAATAAGTAATAAAAACTAGCAAATCCACTGTAAAAACTAATTAAAACTGAATTAAAAGAAAAAAGTCCAAACTAAATATAACTATAGTGAAAAATCCAAAACTATTATAACTTTGTTCAGGAGTCAGCTGCTGATGATGATTAGAGGAGAACATCAGGATCAGGGTTGCAGCCCACGTACGCTGCACCGCGCCGTAACCCACGTTGCCATTCAACTCTAATACGAATTTTGAGCGWAMTTTTAAAATGTTGCAAAAAGAAAAAAATAAAAAGAAGAACAAATGCGAATCAGGCGTGTTTCCATATACCGTCATGGAGCGAATCAACCAGGCCATGTAAAGTTACATCAGATGATGATGTTACGCATGGCTGTAAACAGGAAGTAAACTCACAGGGACACATCTCCGGACAATGGAGAGAGGTTTTCAGGAACCTGTTGCCACTATCGGGAAAATCGTAGGCCTGTCACGATAACAAATTTTGCTGGGCGATTAATTGTCTCAAAATTTATTGCGATAAACGATAATAT